TTGAAAAAGCTCCATTTCACAGCAATAATATGAAATAGTACTACTCATATTTGTCGATCTATCGAGAGAGAATATTTTTTAGAGGAACCTATTTGAGTTTGTGACAAACTCATTATTCTTTAGAAAGATGACTTAACGATGTAGAGAATGATTCATCATTCTTTGGAGTTCAAAACCTCATCAAATAATGTCAGATTTTGAATGTCAAGATGTGTGCTTCTATGTCTTATATGATTCTTAGGGCCTTCCTTCCAAGCTCTAAAAATAAAATTTTGTCAAATAAAGATTAAAAGATTATATTGTAGTGTTGAGGGGGCTTAGGAATTAACAAAAATTATTGTCGTGCTCTTAAGTAAGATGCGCTTAGGAATTAACAAAAATGACATTTATTGTCGTGCTCTTAAGTAAGATGCGCTTAGATTATATTATGTCTTTTTATAAATAAACCTTTATTTATTGTCGTGCTCTTAAGTAAGATGCGCTTAGGAATTAACAAAAATGACATTTATTTATTTTGTTTCCCTCTATAGTTCATAATATGATGCATCTTTTATGAATTGTATGTATTTATGATATTCTCCTAGATGTTCTTGTTGGATTCTTCCTAGATTCATTATACCTGACAAAACTAATGATTCAGTAAAATCACCATTAAATTGCAACCACTATAGACATCAATGTGGCCATCTCATCAAGATTATAATCTATGTGTGATCTTAATTCAACTTTCCCAATGACATGAACAACCACTTAGCATTTTAACATTACTTTAACTGAAGATTGCCTTGACACATCAACAAATGGTAAATGAAAGGAACTCAATTAGAAACATGCTTAAGATATTAAAATGAAAATTATTTGATTTGGCCACATATTAAGCCTTTAATTCAGCCTCAACATTGATCAAATGAATCTAGTACATCAAAATCAAACATCAATGACCATGTAAAAAGGCATGTAAATCATTGATAGTTGTTCAACCCATATTTAACTAATTTGATATATGTATATGCCACTAGATCCGGGCAATAAATAGTGAAAATCCTCAAGCATATTTATTAGTCTCTTTTATTTGAGATATTTGATAGAATGTAGCATATGAATGTAAATCCAACTCTCGGGATGGTACAAAATCTCAACCCCCTATTAATAAAAGATTGGCTCTAGAGTTTAATATAGGACAACATAGCTATAAGTTCTTAATTTGGCTATACACTAATCCCCATTCATATTCCACAACATTTCCTTAATTAAATCTAAACCACTAATATGAAGTGCACGTGGTATTTTTAATCAAAAGTATTCTTAAGTGTAGCACATGATATATAATTCATTATGAGAGTTTACACCTATAATAAGCCATAACCCCTTAAAATATAATATAAATTACATATAGTCTATATATATATATGGGAAAGTGAAATTGTGAACATTTGAAAATTCGATGTCATTAGCATTCAATTCATAGATTTCAAAATGGCATGAAAGGAGAGATAACCCCCTCGAGTTTTATAAGTGTTTTGAGAACTCATAATATCATATATGAATAGATTTTTTATTTTATTTTATTGAATTATATCATTTTTATTTATATTTAATTATTTATTAATCTAGAAGTCTATAAGATTTTGAAAATGACTTATTTGTATTTATATGCATTTTTTAATAGCTTTGGACATGTTGGTAAACATCGATAATGGTTGACTCATAAACAATTATTACTTAAAGTATTTTATGTAACATTGTTTGAAGTGATGAAAATGTTTTAGTTATTTTATTGAATTATATCATTTTTATTTATATTTAATTATTTATTAATCTAGAAGTCTATAAGATTTTGAAAATGACTTATTTGTACTTATATGCATTTTTTAATAGCTTTGGACATGTTATTTAATCGCGTACATCCAAAAAGAAATAACAAACTTGGTAAACATCGATAATGTTTGGCTCATAAACAATTATTACTTAAAGTATTTTATGTAACATTGTTTGAAGTGAGCCCTAGCCCACATATTTGAAATGATGAAAATGTCTTAGATCTTGACTTAGTTATCATAAACTAGTTATTTGTAAGGGTATTTGTTGACTCACATCCCATGCTTGATGGAATATATCATTACATGATGAGATTAAAGCAAATTAATTTGATTGAATGACACTTGGCTCATCCATTTCAATATGTTAGGGCGCCATTATTCAAAATACCAAGGGTTCTATTTGATCATATAAGGCAGCCCAAGCAATTAGAAGCCCGAGTTTGGTGAATAGTTGCCCAAGAATTAATCTACTTATATGAGCAAGATTGATCAATGTTCGAGTAAGTGATAAGGCTTAAACAAAGAAAAGATGATGAGTTTCAATTTGATTATTGGTGTTCTAACCACTATCAAGTGTTGTGTAAGGTCAAGGAGGCTACTAAACCTCTAATGAGCCATTATACTGATTGTGGCTAGATAATGAAAAGCAACACATCTTTTGAAGTTGTTTTCTATAGACATTGCTTCTTGTTAGGGGTGTCAATATTTGACACGACCCGAAAATCCGACTCGAATCCGACCCGAAAATTTTGGGTTAGGGTCAACTCGAATCCGAAACGGGTCGGGTTCGGGTTAACCCTTTGACCCGAAAGTGACCCGATTTTGACCCGGCAACCCGTGATTGACCCGATTTTGATTCGAAAATAGGAGATTGACCCATTTTTGACCCGAAAATTAGCAATTTTTTTGTTGAAAACGGGTCATTCGGGTCGATCGGGTTGACTCGGACCTGAAGCTGGACGGGTTGACCCGAATAGTGCCGGGTCAGTTTCGGGTTCGACCCGAACCCGACCCGTGACCCAAAATTGACACCCCTACTTCTTGTGGGTCTACTTTACATTGATTGCATCTCAAGGGTTCAATTTGCATTGCATCTTATGGCCTTGGGTGGATCCACTTAAGTTATGATACCTTCATGTTAAGTCTAAAGAAATCTTAATTAACAAAATAATAGAATTTATCTCAAATTAAAGAGAGCTAAACTTGCATCCATTACACATCTATAATAGGTGAAACTTCTATTATATTAATAACCATAAAAGGGCCACCTTAACCCCTTCGCAATTATACCACTACTTTTAATTCCACATTTCATTGCACTAAATGTGATATTAAATTGATATTTAATCTTAACCTTAAACCAATTGAAAATAATATGAATGCATTTATTTTCATATATAAAAACTATTTTTTCATGTTTTTTAGAGTGACATTAATAAGACATACATTAAAAAAGCAAGTGAAAAATCAATAACTTGTTTAAAATATATTAAAATTAAATTTAATAGAATTGTTGCGTCCTAGAATATTTGTGGCGATACCGAAATATAAATTTTAGCGTCATAACATTGTATGAAGATCCAATATACAAACAGATGAAAGAGTATGGTGCAATATTCATAAGAGATGCAAAAATTTTTTACGTGAAAAATTCCGAAAAGAGAAAAAATCATGGTGTTTGACCCAATTTGAATGAATCCACTAGTATTAATGATTGATTACAAATAATATCCCTCATGAGGGGAAGGTTGGTGTAAGCTGGATCGAAGGTGAACCTGAAAAGCTCGGACAGGAAGAAGATAACAGGGATATTGAAAACCCACTATTGTATTAAGGGGATAAAAATAACATAAGGTCTCTGCGATTTCTTCCTCTCTGTCACTATATGTAAAACGATGAAGCTAAAACCCTATAACTAACTTTGGTAAAGTAAGTAAAAAGGAAAAATGTTTTGCAGTCGTCTAAAAGTAGTAAGGAAAATGGAAAATGGTTAGTAGAGCTAGTGGGAGAATGCTTCCTGCGGTATGATGTCCCTCGGTGACGCTGTTGTGGTCCACATCAAAGGTGCTAGCTCAATGTAGCAAATACACATTATATAGAGTGCATTACATGGCAGAAGTTTTTAAGAGAATGTTGGCATATTTATCTGGTTCTTAGGACTATAGTGAATAGGTGATGGTGATCGTAAGTATCATAATCGACGAGCGACGATGGTCGAAAGGATCATAGTCAGCAAACAATAGCGATCAGAAGGACCGTAGTCGATGGGTGATAATATTTAGGAGGAGATTCTGCATCGATAACATCAGAGAAGAGTTCTAATGCTAGATGATGAACTGGTGGAAGTTCGACCATGATTGATTGTTGAGAAGAACTCTGGCGGTGGCAATATAGGATGGAGAGTGTAAGAGGGTTCTTAAATTTTCTCCTCTTCATCCTATTTTTTTCCCATTGTGAAGAATGAGTGGACTATTTATAATTTTTAGGAGTGACATGACTAGTAAATAGAGAGAAGATCAAGGGCATGCTGGAAGTGTTCCAATGGATGGTCGATATTATCTTCCCTGATCATTGACCGGTTATCGAGTATTTATGTATATATCTTAATAACGTCAGAATTTGGTGGTCTTGGGCTCATTGGATTCGTCTCGTTGAGCTGCTCGATTCGACCATAAGCACGTTACATTTTGATGACATTTGGCCATCCAATTAATGCTCAGAAGCTTCCAAGATACTCATTTGAGCTATGATTGGATCAAATTTGATGTCGTTTGTATTCGTCTATTCCAGATATTCAGTTTGATTATAAATTTGTTGAAATCGGAGTTTGAATGATCACAAATTTAATTATGAAAGTTTATGAATCATTTTTGTATCAATATCCGTGCTCGACCAAAATAATTTTTTCTTGACATATCCAAAATAAAAGCTAATGATATATAATTTAACATTAAAAGGTTTTGTACCTATTATAAATTTAAATATATTATATCTATTATATAAAATAATTGATATATAAATTATGATTTAAATTTCAAAGTTATAATTAGATGGTTAGAATAACAAATTATGTGTGAGTTATAATGTAATATATGATAATAAAATATCAATGGAGCTTAATTATACATTTAATAAAATTAATTAGTCAGATACAAATGCCGACAATAATAGAAATTAGGGTTTTTAGGGTTTCTCATTTCCTTCTTATCCCCGCGAACTAGCAATACCAACGTGCCTGCCGCCACACGAATTTGAGGTCTGAATTCTGGTTCAGGCTGACTTCTTACTGTGCGCTATCATCAAGAAGTTCAACTCTTCGCAGCTGCCTTGAGCCGTGCTGAGAGGAGCGGGTATCACCAGCAGCAGTTGCGAGGTGTGCGTTATAGGTTGGTCTCTCTCTATTTTTCTATCACTTTGAGAACACTGAATAGATGCAAAGAAAACTAAATTGAAGATCAAGAAAGAAGTGTTGTAGTTCTGTTTCATTCATCCATTTTTACATGTACAGGACAATTGTTTATAGAAGGTGTTAAGAATGTTATAGAAGTACATTTGTAAACATATGATTGGTTGAGATGATTGAGTTTGTCGATAGTTGGAAGTATAAGTGTAATGCTGTGATTGGTTAATGCTGATACATTCTTTCTGTACTGACAGTTATTAATCTGATGGTAGATAGAGGCTTGGTCAGGATATCCACAAATTGATCTTGTGTAGTAACCGGAACAATGAGATTAGTTTTAGATCGAATATGATCCCCAATGAAATGTTGATCAATTTCAATGTGTTTTGTTCTTGAATGGAAAACCGGATTGTTTGTCAAAGCTATAGCCGATGTGTTGTCGCACTTCAAATCCGTTGGAGTTGTGAGATTAATTTTGAAATCCTGCAGCAATTTTCTTAACCAGATTATTTCAGTTGTTGCCGCTGCTAGAGCTTGGTATTCTGCTTCAGTTGAAGAACGAGCAACAATGTGTTGCTTCTTTACGCTCCAAGAAAGAAGTGTGTTACCGAGAAATGTCCAATGCCCTGTTGTAAATCTCCGAGTTTGTTTGTCACTTGCCCAATCAGCATCTGAATAGGAGTAAAGCTCAAGTGGTCCTTGTGTAGCAGGAAGACCGTAGTTTATTGTTCCTTTGATGTATCTTAATAGCTTCTTTAGTATGTATATATGATTCGAAGAAGGATTGTGCATGTATTGACAAAGAAAGTTGACAATGTAAGCAATGTCCGGTCTTGTTATAGTTAGATATTGCAATGAGCCTGTTATGTGCCGGTAAGTGTGTGGATCGGATAGCAGTTGATCTGGTGCAGTATTCAACAGAAGTTTTGTACATATATGATTAGAAAGTGGCTTGCAGTTGAGTAAACCTGCACTTCAAAGTATATAAGTTGCATAGGCGGATTGAGACATAAAGTAGGAGTCTTTCTGTTGGGTGATTTGAATACCCAAAAAATTTGTTATTGTCCCAAGGTGCTTCATAGCAAATTTCAAATTTATTTGATTAAGAACATTTGTTATCATAGCAGTGTCATTGCCGGTTAGAAGAATATCATCCACATAAATGATCAAGTAGATTTGGATATCATTTTTGTGGAATATAAATAGAGATGAATCATCTTTTCCTTGATGAAACCCGATTGACTTCAAGTAATTAAAAAACATCTTGAACCATTGTCTGGGTGCTTGTTTGAGACCATATAAGACTTTACGAAGTTGGCACACTGATTTGGTTGCATTGTATCCTCAAACCTTTTTGGTTGAGTCATATAGATGTCCTCATCAAGGTTTCCATGAAGGAATGCCCTAGCTACATCAAGTTGATGAATTGACCACTTGTAGAATATAGCTATGATAATTAGAGCCCGAATGGTAGGAAATTTAGCCATCGGACTAAATGTTTCAGAATAGTTGATCCCATAATTTTGATGATTCCCTTGAGCTACTAGCCGAGCTTTAAATCTTGCCACTGAACTATTAAAATGCCATTTGGTTCTAAAGGTCCTCAATATTGGCTTGTCATGAGGAGGGGGTACAAAAATTCTTAAAGACTAAATCTTTGTTAAGATTTTTTAACAGAAATAATGTAAAATGTTAGTCAATATTTTGATGAAATAATGCAAACCATTATCTTAATCAAAATTTTTTCTAAGGGATGAATCATTATCCAAATAAAAAACTTGAACTATTATCTTAAATCATTGGGTTTTAATTAATCATAGGGGTTTGACCCTATGGGGAAGCTGTACCACCAAAAAAATATATGTATTTTTAATCAAACATATTGTATGGGAAAAATCTCAGGTAAATATAAAAATATAAATTTTATTATTGAGTGCATAATGAAATAATATTTTTATCCTTTGAGATAATATAATTAATTTCTATGCTGTATTCAATCATAAAATAGTTTAGTCCGTAGAGGATAGAAAAAAAATTCACCAACAAAAGCACTACACCCCAGTACATGCTATGGTTGGTCTAAGGGTGCAAACAATAATGGAGAGATCATTTCCACTTCGATGGTTCTATTCTTTCATTTTGATGTTTAGTTGTTGATAATAGGCTCCAGTAGGCTCTAGGTCCAATCAATTTGATCTATATCTTTTTTTCTCCCCCCCTCTCATGCATTAAATAACTTTTCAACAAATGTACTGCGCATTTGGAATACCCACATTCAACCAAGAGGCATGGATTTGTAATCCCCATACCTTTTGCTGGGCATGTTATGAAAACCTTTATCATAATCACTTTAATCAAGAGGACGCATTCAGCCAACAATTTGCATGAAATATCAAAAAAAAAAAAAAAAAAAAAAAAAAAAAAAAAAAAAAAAAAGAAAAAAAAAGAAAAAAAAAAAAAGAGGAAATTGATAAAAAAGTATTGGGCATGCTTTTCTAAAATGGTCGGGCCTAATAGTTTTTGGAATATCATATTAGTTATGTAATGAAACTTTATGCTTATTATGTCACTTAATAACAGTTATGTCTCATACAACATTTGTCTTAAAGACACATTATCTTGGGCTGATTTTTGTAGTTTGTTTATACTTTGATTTTCATCTCAGAATATTATTTTGGAACTGTCCGTACTTCGTATTGGAAACCCTGTGATGAACTGCATTTCGTACCTATCTTCTGCAGCTCTATTTTCATGGATGAGGCATGTGGTCGTGAGGAGTTCATTTTCTGGCCTATCTATTGTAACCTGGAAAAGAAGCATATGGCATACTGGCATTAGAGTGATTGGCCTTGATTCCTGCTTAACTGGATTTCGTATTAAGTGCTTGTCTGCTCGACGATCACGCATTTCAAGATCATCAAAGGTGAATCTTAAGCCAATCATGGCAGATGAATCTGATGCATTTTATGTTGTTCGAAAAGGTGATATAGTTGGCATCTACAAAAGTTTAAGTGATTGTCAGGCTCAAGTTAGCTCTTCGGTAGTGTCTTTTCCCTCATTGATCTTTATGTTTCTTCTTCCATTTATTTGTTTTTTTAGTTTAAGAAAAGCATATTGCAGAATCTAAATGTTACATTTAGATGTATTTCTTTGCTCGCTAAAAAAATCTTATTTTTGTTCATGCTTTTCTCCAAAACAGTAAGAATTTTTCATTATGTAATTTTAAATATGCTCAGTGTAAAGCAGTTCATTTGCTTTTGTTAAAATGATGGCAGAAGTTTATAATGTACGCTATTGAAGTATGTGGCTAACTTTTTTCTTGAATGAGTTCAAACATTAGACCTTCACTTTATTAATCAATGTCAATACCACTCAACCGAGTACATGGTAATGGGGTTGACTTCATTTGTTAACAGTTCTACTTATTTTTCTCCTGAGTGAAGAGATTATAAGCTCATTTGCTTTTCTATCAAATACTAGTAGTTCAACAATTTTGGTTTTTAGTGACTTTGATTTATGTAAACAAACAGAAACCCACATTTTCATTAAAATGCTTTTGTTTGAGTGTTCATTGCATTTGGGAGTGAGTACAATACTTTTTTCTTGCTAAAATTTTCACTTTTAAATTGTACTGTGATTTTAAGATAGTGATTCAAGTTTTCAATTTGGTTTCTACAATGATGCTTTGTGTTGACCATTTTATTCATTAAAGTTAGGGTTCTTGAATGTAATTAGGTATGCGATCCTTCGGTTAGTGTGTACAAAGGTTACTGCTTGCGCAAGGAAACTGAAGATTACTTTGCTTCTCAGGGGTTTAAAGATGCTCTATATTCCATGCATGCAGCACATTTAAAAGATGATATGTTTAGTACTCTTGTGGCTTGTCCTTTCCAGGTTAGAACTTTAATAATCATTTTTTTAATTGGCTCCTTTGGAGCCTATGTTCTTTACTGTTTTTGATTTGAGCCATTTTGGTTGCATTTTTTATTGAAAAGCTTGGTGCTAGAATCTTCCGGATTATTCGGAATTATTAGGTACACCATGGCCATTTTGACTTTTTCAACTCTTTTATTCCGAGAAGAGGAAATTTGAAGGTAGAATAAACTGATGGTATACTTTTATCATTAATCTTTTTGTCCTTGAAGCAAGCGATGTTTTTCTCTCATCAAGCAGATCAAATTGGTGCACTGGAGAAGATGTTCCGAAGGGCTTTAAGACCATCCTTCTGTTCTTTCTATCAAAAATAGTTTGGATACTTCCAAAATAAATTTTATTTTCAAATATTTTTGAAAGTCATTTTCTTGGTTAAACTTGCATTTGCTACCTGTGATAAAAGAGAGGATGGTCGACCTTTGTAGATAAACCTTATTTAATTGCAATTTTACTATTTATAAATGAGCCGGTTTTGTTATGAAGATGGTTTACTCTTTTGAGAATCTTTTCCTCCCTTCAACAAAGTGGTATACAGTAAAAATTCTCTATGCTTCAAATATCATATTATCCTCTCCGCTTTAAAGCATAGAATTTGTCTATTCTTTTTCTTGAAGCATTAGTAATTCAAAAGTGTGATAATTTTTTGGCTATTCGTGCATATTCAGATGTTATCGATCATGACTTTTCAACTTCACTTGATTTATTAACCTTTTTTTTCTTTCTTAATGAGAATCTATGCCGAGAAAGTTAAATATCAAGTTCACTAATCTCAGTCTATTCCAACGGTTTATTTTTCTCCCCTTCTATTAGCTGAACTGTTGCATAGGAGTTGCTGTGCTAACAATACACGCATTTCCATTTTCTCCCACCATATGCATGGTTTTTCAAAGAAAAGTATTGGGAATTTCCTTACTAGGATTTGAAATTGCTGTCCTCTGGAGTTGCTGTGCTCCAGCCTTGTCCAGTTTATTCATTTTGGTTTCTTTATTTGGTTTTCGAAACCATATTAGCTTTGCCTTATGGTCTTTGAAACTCGCTGTCCAAATTTCACCAAGATCAATTTGTCCGATTCCAATGCTTTGATTCTCCAACCTGATATCTTTAGCATTGGTATGTAGGTGTTAAAGTTTGTGCTTCCATTGTTGTCAGATTGAGAAGTATGGTGCCCAATAAACAATGATGAGCTTTATTTCCCAGATTTTACTAACTTAAGCCTGCAATCCTTCTCAAATTATACCATTGTGAGGTAGAGCCCACTTAGTTTTGGCGATGTTTATTGACAACCCATTCACTTGTCTTGGGTTAATACTCATTAAAATGTTCTTTAAATCAGCCCTCCATCTATCTTTATATAGGCTAGTTTTTTATGATACAAGCTTTGCAAGTGAATGTCAGTTTTAGAGGTGAGATCCATCAAAGTTATGGCGAGCTTTGTTTTTTTTTTTTTTTAAAGAAACTCCTAAAAGTATTATAATAATAATATTTTCAATTTTCCATGCATTGCTATTGGCTTAGCTTCATGTATAATGCATAAGAATCCACGACAAAAGAAAAACAAACATTGGTTGAATTGCGGTCACATCTCAGTAATTCATTAAATGCATTTAATCTCCAACAACACAGCAACATTAGCATTAGTCCTTGGACATGGTCACATCTCAATAATTCATTAAATTCACTTAAATCTCCAACAACATAGCAACATTAGGATTAGTGACATGATTTCAACATTATACCATCAACAAAAAAAATATAGCAAAACTAAAAAAAAAGCATAGTCTTCAAAATACCTGCTAAATATGAATATAACAATGCATCACTAATTGGACCCAATAAAATGGGCATCACCGCAGCTATTGATCGATCGTCCAAATGTGGAACAACTTGGGAACATCTTGTGCATTCTCCATCTGTGTTGGATCTTGACCTAATGGTGTCAAAATGTGTCATGTTTGACATGAACTGGTAATGCTTTTGAGTTGTCCAGTGTTTCATAGACCTGATCTGATATAGAACTACGTATGGATGCAATGAATTTATTAAGATCTTGTACAACTCTTGATTAGAGAATAGCGACAAAAACTACAAGCATTTAAAACAACGGCATAAAACGTAAGAGGGGTCACGCCCACTTAGGCTAAATCACATAATCAGAGATTTGAAACTTCAAAATAAATTAGAAAACAACATCATGCCAAAATAGTAGCTTCAATAAAGATCCCTAGTCTAACAACGAGATTAGCAAGCACATGAATACGCTCAAAATCCTACGTTTACTAAGCTTAGCAGAAGCAGGCGATGGTCAGCCTTCATGACTACAATCAAACCACGAGAAAAGTTAGATTCAAGAAATAAGAGAAAAGGAGAACATAGGAAACCTTCGTCAAGGATCGGTGGCGATCCTCCAATCGACGATCTCCAATTGCTCTTCGATGGCTTCCACCAAGTTATCCAAGATTCACTTGATGTAATCTTCCACCGTGTGGTCGACCCTCGGGTTGACGTCGAAGAAGGTTGAATGTAAGATGCACACAAACCTGTGCTCGTCGTAGGAGAGGCCGTATTCAAATTTTGGATCAGCCATCCATAAAAGCTAGATGATGAAGTCTTCCCAAGGATTGCTAGCACTCTTGAATACTGTTGAGGAGAAAGACGTTTCTCTTCAAATTGAAAGGGGTAGGAGCCAAGGAGCAATTTCCCTTTCGAAATATGAAATTAGTTTCAAAATTTTGAAAGTAGAAGATGGGAAATCAAGAGGGAAATCTCAATTCTTAAATTCCGGTGAGGAGTTAACGAGAGAGTGGGAGATTTGAGAGAGAGAGGGGGCCGACGGCATCATGAGGGTGGAGTGGAGATTTATCTCCCAAATCCAATATTTGGTTTTAGGAAATAAATTAGGAGCAAGGGGATTTGATAAAATTCGGCCAAGGGGGTGGGGTGATATTTAGAAAAACTTCCAAGTGGGGCTAGAGGAGAGTTAGGAAATAAATCCCAAGTTTCCCTATAGGGGGGCCGGCGGCATACATGAGGTAAGGAGTAATTATTGGGGGGGGGGGGATTTAAGGCTACTTAATTTAGTTTTATGAATTAGGAAAGCAATAAATTAAATCCAATTCAAATTTAAAATTCAAATTGATTTAAATTAAGTACTTTCCTAAAATAGATGAACTAAGTTAGGAAAGAATTTTGAAATATAAATTTCAAATTGTTTCCAAATTGCATTCATCAAATTAAGAAACCCAAGGATGAAGGGGAAAGTAGTGGGGCCGGCGGCTAGGGGTTGGGGTCGGCGGGTGAGGGAGGGATTGGTGTGGGGAAATTGGGTGGTGGGAAGAGGAATCGGGAGGGGAGTTTAGGTGGCCGGCGGCAAGGAGTGGATGGGCCTTGGCCAACGGCTAGGTGGAGTGAGATGGGGTGAAGTAAGACGACGGAAGGAAACCATGAACCCGGCCGTCTCCAAGGTTGGTGGGTGATGCGCCGATCTCCCTCTCCAAGAGATCTCTTTCCGATCTCTCAATCTCTCTCAAGAACTCCAACAATAAAACAAAATTTCTCCAATAATCATTCATTAACCTCAAAAGAAAATAAGGAGGGTTATATAAAGCCTCATACAAAAGGACTCAAAGACAAAAAACACTAATGCCCCTTGGGCTTACATACGACATCCCTTTGCTAGAAGGGTACAACAGAAAATAAAATAAAATAAAATAAAATAAAACAAATACAATGACACATAAATAAGACAATACATAACATAAATCATAAGTACAATGACTCGATCGTGGCCGTAGATCGGCGGCCACGCCTTTGATAAACCTTCCCAGATCTAATGTACCCATCATGATCTTATTCAAGCTTAACAGATAATTTCATCTAACGGCTCAGTGAAAGGAAGAAGAGCTAGCGATTGTTCTTTAAGGATCCTTAAGCTAAGCTTCCTTTACACGGTTCTTTTAAACGTATTATGGCAAGAAAAGCTTGTAGAGGCCATGCTGCGCTTTTGTAAACATATATTGCTTAGGTCTTTTTTATCTCTTTGTGTGCCCACTTCGAAGTTGTTACATCAGTATCGGTTAGGCCTCTCTTTTCTCTTTAGTTGACTTAAGAGTTGTTACATCACTGCAGGAAACCATTGTGGTTAAAATAAACTTTTTGAACAACTAGGAACCTTACTGCGCTATTTTCTTCCAATTTTCAATAAACAAAGTACACAGCTGTTTGATGTGCATTTTGATGCTGTTAAAATAGTAAATTACATAAGTTTTAACTGCTTCTTTTGTTAAGCAAAAATGGAAAGCTTAACGTAAATTGGAATTGTATATATGCTGCAGCACTTGCCTGTAATGTTGCCATAGTTTTTTATCTATTATATATCTCAATTTTTTTGCTTGCAATGTTAACATCGATTTTGGTCCTTTCATTTGAGCATATTCTTCTTATTGATTATGCAATGGCCGTTACTCCATCACGCAATCTCAATCTCAATCTCTGCCTATTCTTTAAATTCAAAAGATTCCCCGTACTTGTTTTACCAGCAACCAGATGGACTAGCCTTTTTGGTTGACAAGACACTTAAGGGGATTCCTCCGCAAAAGAGATTACAAGAAGTGGTTAGTGTTTTAGTTGCTTTTCATGTTTTAATTACTTTGGATGTTATCAAAGATTTATATTAGGAAATGCAGCCAGTCGGTCCAATTTTTGTGCTGTTTAAGACAATTATTATATGTGATCCCTTTTTAATTACAATCTTAATGATTTTCACTTTTTTCGTTGCATTCCCTTTTTGGAATTTTCCAACTATGTGAATATATGTAACTTGCTTTATTTTTAATGCTACGTCATATGAATTGTATATTTGACCTTGATTTTTTTGTCTTGATGGAAGATTTGAATTTGCTGATTCTTACGAAATTTATTTCAGAACGGAGGAATTCTTGCTTTTACTTATAAAGCCGAGAGGAGTATAGAAGGAATTTGTTTTGGCAACCTTAAATCAAGCTGGATTATTTGAAGTTGATTTTGTTGTTTTTCAATTAAATATTTAATAGTACACCTTTGTATTTATTGTGAACCTTGCTATTGCAAATACGAAAAGCTAGATATCACAAAGACGTGATGCTATTATATGTCTTTGATGTCATTTGTTAAGCTTGGATAGCCCGTCACTTCATGCATTGCAGTGTGCTTGTAATCTTGACAAATAATCCTTAGGGCTTCTAGTGATGGATGATAATTCAAAGGTTAGAATTTTTAATGCAATTAAAAAGATGCAATCTATGAAGAGCACTCGAGAGAATTTTTTATTCACTTATTGTGACCCCTTGATTCATCAATAATGATCAAATAAACTAAAAAAAAAAAAGCTAAATGTAAAATCAATGAGCAATTGTAATTTAATCACCAAAATTAGATTCCCAATTATATCAGATTTCAACAAAATCTAGAACATTAGGAAGCCAATACCAAAATATATTGAAGAATAGGTTTAAAAAGGAATTTATCAAAATAGGAAATCTAGGCCTCATTGTTACATGGAAATAATTTTCCTCGGAATTCGGTAGTCGTACTTGCATCAAACAAAAGAATTACACAACTAAATTGCACTCAATGATTGAAAACTAGAAGTAATTTTATTCAATCCAAGTTAGTTGTTAACATGCCTCATACTAGCTATTCAAGGGATCATCACACTTAAATTAGTAGTTGTTGTTGACGGGAGATCAGTCCAATCTGATTCTAAATAACCACTTTCAAACTTAATTTTATCCCAACTCCCCATCTGCAGTAGAAAAATTCCTATGTTCATCAATGACAATTATCAAAATAGAATAATGTTGAATGGCATAAATGATCGAATTGCCAACTATTCAACAATGATGTATAATATGGTATTCATGATCATTAATATGAAAGCAATAAATAATGCATTTACATTCTAAAACATTCACGCATGCATTTACATTCTAAAACATTCATGTGTGATCACATTCTATATATATATATAATCTAATTATTCATAGTCAGTTTATCATAATGCCCTTAACAAGAAGAAATTTTTACCCACTTGGTGGAGGCCAATGATCCATAAGAGAGTCGTTATGTAGATCCATTCCTCTTAACTAGTTAATCATATAAAAATGGGGCACTACAAGCATTCACATCCATCACACACAAACATGCATATAGCAAATGCTATATCAATTATTCTATTAGGAGTACGATAAAATTTTATTTCATATCAATATCTTTAAAATTACTACGAGTAAGAATCATGTCACTTTAACCAAAATAATGTATATGCATATCGAGTTATGCCATCGCATGCATCATTTCCAAGGTTAAGGCATGAGGGTAAAGTTGTATCATCTTGAACCTAAGGAGGATTGATCAAACAGTGTGGGCAAGTGATCTTGGAAGTAGAGAATCAAATAAGAAGCCCATCCATGCCAGCATATAGGATGGTCGACTCTTAGAAGAATAGGGGGATGAGAATGAATCAAATCTTACATTGAATAGTTTGGAATATTACTGAGCTATATATGTCACAATTCGACCTGGTAAGCTCGCATAAGTTAGGCGGGAACGGATGGTCGGACGGTAGATCAAATTTTTAATTTCCTTAAAGCTATATCAATAATTTAGAAAGAGCCACTAAACTTCAAATATATATAAACTGATATATAATAAACATAGATACCTTTCTTCTTGTGCCTCACGTCTACGGTAGACATTTCCACCTTTTCTATTCATTTGATTATTTTAAATTTATATGAAATAAAAGTTAGCGTAACAACAATAAGTCAAAACTTAGCAAGTAACACATGTCTCTAAACCACAGTAATTCAAGGCAGTAGAATTAATATGCTAGATGTCACTTTTCATTTAAACATATCATAAATTTTATTTCCTATAAACATATTAGTTAGACATCTACATAAATCTATATCATTTCATATTCATTTTACATTCATCATATCAATATTCGTAACTTTTTCATTTCATAAATAGTATAATCATCATAGGACCCACCGTCTAGTACCAATGAAGGTACTCCTTTACCATATCCTTTTCCATAACCTTTACCATTTTAACGTGCATAAGTATAGCGTCCCCGGCTAGTACCATAAGGGGGTGAGCTCCATCATTTCAACATGCACATGTAATCACTCAATATATCAATCTTATCATATTCATATATCATAATACTACACTCTATCATATGCCTTATACAATAATATAGTGAATCACTTAATATGCGAGATATGAAACATGAAAACATTTGAGTGACTTTCTCATTTCATAAATAGTATAATCGTCATGTTTAACGTAAATAATTATTGAATATATATATATATATATATATATAGTATAATCGTCACAGGAGCCACCGTCTAGTACCAATGAAGGTACTCCTTTACCATATTCATTTCCATAACCTTTATCATTTTAACGTGCACGAGTACAACGTCCCCAGCTATTACCATAAGGGGGTGAGCTCCATCATTTCGACATGCACATGTAATCACTCAATATATCAATCATATCATATTCATATATCATAATACTACACTCTATCATATGCCTTATACAATAATATAGTGAATCACTTAATATGCAAGATATGAAACATGAAAACATTTGAAATGCAGTAAAATGAATAAATTGCAATAACAATTAAATGAAAATTTGAAACGATACAATTACCATAATATAAAAACATGTTTACTCATCTAATTTGAGAGATTTGATTTTCATGCTTGTTCTCCTTCCTTCGAGGTCACAATAATTAACACTTATAAGAAATAATTTAATATTCACAGGCTAAAACTAATCATCTTAAACTTAATTATTCTATTCCTATAAAATTACGATAGGCTCTCTTTCTCTCTCTCACCCTCTCTCTAAATTTGTATAATAATACTAATCACTCAAAATAACCTATTGCTAAAGCATAAATTAAATTAAAATAAACTTAATTTTCGGATTTAAATTAATTAGAAATTAGGAAAAATAATAATTTGAGAAAAACCTTAATATATATCATTAGAAACTCTCATATGATCATTTGGAACATTACTCCTTAGGAAACTTCTTAAAAATCCAATAATATGAAAAAGCCCTAATTTTCCAACTCAACATTTTCGGGGAAAAATCTCATTTCCATGCTTAAGATCATCTCATAAACCTTCCCTATAAATCTTCTAAAGAAAAATGAAGTTTTTGTCAAACCCTAGCCTCTTTTCAAGAAATTGTCATGAAAAATAAGGAATATCTTGATTAGAAACTCACCTTAGTCTCCTTGAATCTCCCTCTTCGATTTCCCCTTAGTCCGGCTACCGAAAATCGCCACCGGAGCCGCTCACCCACGCCTTGCATCGCCTCCCATCTGCGCCTCTTCTAGCATTCGGGCTATTGAAACCGTGCGGGAGAAATGAAAGGGACTGAAACTATTCTGTCCCTTAAGGCATTCAACGATTTAGAGAAATGCCAAAGGACCACTTTGCCCTCTCGTGCTTATCCTCAATCTAATATCTCTAAGGGCATTTAAGTAATTTGTTATTCAAGTTATAACTTCGGCGATTTTTAATTTAAAATCTAAGTGGAATTCCATATAAGTCATATATACCGTTTTGCTCGAAATTTTATGTACAATTTTATAAAATTAATTTCGTCAAAATCCGACGACTTTGAAAAATTCACTTAAATTTTATCGCGGCACATTGAAAAACGTGCGATGTATAAAATTGACATTTTCGGGTTTTACAATATAAAGGGTGAAACCTACATAGGCTAGGCATCTCTCAGTGTAATTGGTGGAGTTTCTTTGAGATCTCTATAATTAAGCGTGTTTGTAAAGGTGCACTTTCGGGTTGAGTGAACTCATTGAAAGTTGCACCAATAAGGATAAAATTATGAATTTCAACCTAGTATGGGATGAGTTGTATTAAAATGAACAATGTCTCACATAATGTCAATTGCATCTTTACAGTTAATATCAGTCCTCCAAAATTACTCTAGAAAAGCCATCTTACAATAATGCTGCCATCATATTATAAAGGCAAATATAGAATCATAGAGAAAAAGTTGTTAATCTTATGGATGATAACCCATCATATGTATATTTAATGATCATTTTACTTTTGTCTATAACTCTGAAATTCCAAGGAACGTCAACTGAAATGGTTGCAATCTCAGAATATGAAGCTTATCTCTTTTACATGATCACGCATATATTTACATCATTTCAAATCCTTCAGGAAAACTTTTTATGTTACATTTATCAAAAATGCAAACTTAAATCAAATATTAAAAAAATATCACACTTATCATTTGAAAAGAATAAACTGCCATTACAGAAAGTACCGATTTATTGCAGTGATGGGCATTACAAATACAACCAAATCAAATGGATGGTTTATATGTCGTGGGTAAGCTATGTTCAAAAAGATTGGAGGTAACCGTATGAAATGTGTTCTAGTTCTAGCAGTAAGTAAATAATAATCTTGTTTATATTTTTGATAATTTAGGCATCTAAGTTATAACGAATATGAAGTTAATATGCAAAATATACAATCAGCAAACAAATTTACCCCTTGCATCTCAATTTGTATCATGTCCCCTTAAATTTTCTGAGATGCATTTGGTAATTTTTTTTTTCTCGTTCTTAATATACACACTGATTTTAATTTATGTGAATTTCTTGTTCAGAAATTTCAGTTTTGTTCTTTGGATATTCTAGATTTTGATTCTTTCATTTTTTAGTACACTGAACCTCGAGAGTTGTTAAACTACAGGGAATCACTGGCTCTAATGACGAGCCAACGTCACCACCAAACAAATTTTCTAAAATGGTTCCCACTGTTGAAGCTCAAACAATAAAAAGAAAACCTGTAAGTTGTTTTATAGCGAATGTTTTTGACATTTAGTGATTGCTATTGTTTTGTGTCTTATATGAATCTTTATATTTTAGCTTATCACTCTTATTTAATGTAGTTTCATTTATCTTCTTGTTTTTATGTTCTGAGAGGAATCATTTCGGAAACTATGAGATTGTTATAACAAAGTGTATTATGCATGTTAAACAGAAGAAAAAAACATGATTAAGTTAAAGCTTATAGCATTTTAACATAAAACAATCTAAGATGCTCTTAAAGTATAAGATAAAAGTGGAAAAAGTACAGTTTAATTAGAGATATCTTGCTTTATTCTATTTTCTCCTCTTTCATATCACGCTCTCTACAAAAGCTTCTTTAATCTTTCCCAATGTACAACTTATTTTAATCATATTTGATAAGTTGGCTTTTAAATTAAATAGCAGATTTAATATTCGACCAGATTAAGTTGGATGTAATCTATATTCCCTTGAATATAATTGTAGTACAAAATTTTTCTAGGCACATTCATTGCAAATTTCCTAGAACACACTTGCACATGAAAACAACATATAGTGTACCTCTAGATATTTGAAATAGTTTGAGATTATTTTTATCAGTTCTCCATGTGTTGAGCCTGTGTGTATGACCAGATGGGCACAAACTCTGGAATAAACTATCATTTGCCACTGTCTTGTATTCTATCCTCTAGTTTAACTTGGTGCTATTTTTATCATTCTTAGCTACTTCGTCAATAAAAAGTATCAAGAAATCATGTGTAATTCTAAATAGAAAATTGGGTAAGACTCATATGAAGGCAAGTTACTTCCAGAGTACCTGAAGTGAATGCCGTTCATGGTTTAGGCATTGTGGGTATACTGAAGTTGCAAAAAGATAAGAGGTGAAACCGAGAAAGCTCGAAAAAATTTATTAATAATACTCTGACAAAACTAAACAACACCAAGAATCTTATTGAACTACTTTATATTATTAAAGAATGAAGTTAAGGTTACGAAGAAAAATTGGCAGGAATAAACCCCATCAAGAACGTCGTTTCTACTGTTGGAAATGTGACTGCTTAAAATTGTAGGCCTGAATTTTCACTCCTAGCAAAACTACAGGCTGAGTAAGTTTCTTGGTTTTGTGATGGACTAGTGGCTGAGCCAGTGGGCCTCAGTAGGGTGGGTAGCGGACAAGAAGAGGGGTAGAAATATTTTGAACAATTTTAATTATAATTAAGATAGAATTAATTAGGAAAAGAAAACTAATTTGAATTTCAAACATGAGAGGAAATTTTTCAGGAAAAGGAAAAGTCCAGGGGAGTTAATATTCATTATTTAAGGAGAAATCAAGGGAGAATTGTTTAGAAAAGTTTTAATTATAATTGAGAGAGCATTAATTAGGGAAATATATAATTGAATTCAAATTTGATATGAAATTATTTAGGGAAAAAGGGAGCTGATTTGGGAGGGAATTATGGGAGCCTATTTAAGGCTAACTATGGGGTGATTTCAGATTATGATTGATTTTGCAGTAATTAGTTTTACTTACGTTGAGTGGGCTTTAGCCAACCGCTAGGGATTTGCGAGAGCCTGATCTTCATCTCCAATTGAAGATCCAACTGTCTTGTATTTTTCTTCTTAGTTCTTTCAAGAAAAAAAAGTTGTGTTCTTCTTCCTAAATTTATTTTGTCGTTCTCTGGTTTTGCTGAAATGCATCCACTTCCTATCGTTTTGTCCTATTTCTGTTTTTCCAGGCTCAGCTACTATAAACAGTTTTGCTAGAATGTCGATAGTTTCCGTCAATCTGGATTACCTAAAGGGCAATTGGTCACCGGTTTCTAGCCTCTGCCACCTGGCTTGCTTTGTTTTACAACTTGGACACCTCTTGAAGCCCTAACTCAAAACCTATTGGAAACCAACAAGGCAACTAACAGATCACCTGCCCTTCACGAGAGAATTATGATAACTGACAAAGTAAGAAATACAGAAACCTTGTGGCTAATTTCCTTCATTCAGATGTTCTAGCTATAGTTTCTTTTAGCTGCTTCCACCTGATCATCGAACCACTGGACGTCTACTGCTGCTCCTTTAACCACTGTCCACAGAGAATTCCCTGAATCAATTTTTGCTGGAAATTTTGATGGCCTTCTTATTTATCCTTAGTGCTCTCAGATCTTCAAGGAAAAAAAGGCAAACCTCAAGACAACTGCCCTTGAGTTTCATCACGTGAGATGAATAGTTTGCCAACTGCAACTGTCCCAAGCACTCCCTGTCGCAGGCAGGGTATCTATTTCCATTTGTCTAGCCACTCAAGAGGCCTGCGGCCCCAATGTTGCTCTTGGATCCTTCCAGCGCTGCCCCATTGCTGCTTGACAATGTTGCATAGCAACCGATAGGGCTTTCGGCACTTGATGTCAATGTTGAACACCTCCCTCTCTGTACTTCTCTGAGAATAGGGAAATCCTTCCCCACGGTCAAAATAACTTGAAAATAACTCCACCAAAAACTCAGAAATAATTACAGGAGGTGGCTTTAAATGGATCCCAAACTTCCCCAAAATAAATGCAAAAATAGGAAAAGACCTTACAGAACAAATTTAAAACAATACCTGCAAAATAAAATGACACAAATAACCCTATTATTCATCCTAATTAATTATGTTATCTACTAAACTATGTTAGGAGACAACAAATGTATGTATTATTGCTATGGCAATGACTAAATCATAACTACTTTTTTTTATAATTCAGCATATAAATTCTAAATGACATAACGTTAATATGAACAGTAAATAACAAGGTAATTATAAAGGCATAGGGGAAGTAATTAGAAAATTTTTAACTCCTGTACTCCTCAATTTTGAGATGCATATGGTAACATTTTATTGAATTTTCTTTCATGAGATGCATATTGATTTTAATTTATGTGATTACTTTTTTGAAAATTTTTATTATTAGTTTTGTTTTTTCCTCAAATTTACTGGATATGGAACCTTTTTCTTTGGGAAAACTAAGCCTCAAAGGTTCTTGATCTACAGGGGATTGCTGTCTCAAGCGTCATGCCAACTGCACCATCAAACAAGCATTCCAAAATGGCTCCTGTCGTTGAAGCTCAGCCAAACAGTGAACTTGTGAGTCATTGTTCGACAAATGGTTTTGACATTTTATTGAGTACTATTGTCAATGATATATGGGCATAGGGACAGGATACAAGATAGACCCATGGGAATATTTATTTATTTATTTATTTGTGTGCGCGAGCGCATGTATCCATACATACATGCATGCATGCACACATATACCATGTGTTCCATGTGTGTATGTAAGTTACAATTTGTTTCCTTGTTTTTGTATTTTGGGAGGAACTCTTTTAGATAACAACTTGTTATAATAGTGGGCATTTTTGTCCACAAAGTGAAACAAAAAGCATAATCAAGTTAAAAGATAAAGCATTTTTAATATAAAATAATCTGATGTTATGTTAGAATATAAGATAAAGCGGGGAAAGTACAATATTATCGCGTATACCTTTTTAAAATCAAGTTCATTTCATTGAATTGTTTTCTTAAACATCCTATTAATGTTACCTTCTTTTTGTTCACTTAGCTTACATCACAAATTTTTATAGATGTTTTTGATAAGTATTGCAATGAGCCTATAATAGTACAACAATAACAACAACAGCATCTAGCTTTTATTCCACTAGATGGGGTTGGCTACATGAATCTTTTTTTTCCATTGTGTCCAATTAAGAGTCAAATTCCCATTTAAATATAATAAAGAAATGTCATTTCTAATATTTTCTAACCAAGTCTTTGTAGGTCTACCCGTACCTTTCTAAACATAAGTCAAATCTAATACATCTACTTTCCTAACCAGTCATCGGAAGGCCGCCATTTTATGTGACCAAGCCATCTAATGCAACTCTCTCCAATCTTATCTTCCATTGGAGCTACTCTAACATTTTCACGTATATGCTCATTTCGTATCCTATTTTTAAGAGTAAAGCCACTCATCCATGTGAGCATCCTCATCTTTGCAACACTTTACTTAATATTATGCTTCTCTTTTAATTGCCAACATTCCGCACCATAAAGCATTGCAAGTCTCACCATCATCTTATAGAAGTTTTCCTTAAGTTTGAGGGAGACTTTTCTATCACACAACAAGCCCAATGCATTCCTCCACTTCAACCATCCAACTTGAAATCTACTAATAATACTCTGAACGATAAACCCAAGATATCTAAACATGTATTCTTATTAATGACTTGATTGCTCAAAGTCACAAACCCCCCATTAGATTTATTACTACTAAAATTACACTCAATATATTCGGTTTTAGATCTACTCAAACAAAAACCTTTAGACTCTAAGGTTGACCTCCATAATTCAAGTTTACCTTCAACTCTCTCTACTCTTATTAACAAGAAGAATATCATTAGCAAAAAGCATAAACCGGGTTACAACCTCTTGCAAATGTCTAGTGAGAACATCCATGACTACAACAACATTGAACCTATAATAGTATCATGTATTTTTTATTTGAAAGAGTAGTAATATTACCTAATAAAAAAATCAAGCCTATCCTTCCATTTCACATCAACTTCCCATCATTGTTAGAAAGTATAAGTTTATGTTTAACCACACATGTTCGCACGCAAAGTTTGAGATTTTTAGTCAGTTCAAATTCAATGAGAGTTAAAACAGATTATTATCTCTCCAATTTGAACATATTGGATTATGCAAATTGCTGAGAGAGGGAAGGCCAAAAATTTTCTCATATTTGAATGTGGCTGAATACCGTGCCTTAATTTGATGGTGGGGCTAGGCCTTTTTCTATAGCAACTTATTCTATTGTAGTTCTATACAAAATAATATTTTTTCTGAAACATGCAGATGACTTGCATACTTGAATTTGATGGTGCTTCTAAAGGTAATCCTGGTATGGCTGGTGCTGGAGCAGTACTGAGAGCAGAAGATGGGAATGTGGTAAGCGGCTTTCCAGACCAACGTTTTTCTCTTCTATCATTCTGTAAAGTTGAACCTTGTAATAGTGTGACTTTTATCTCATTGCATCTGTGAAGATTTCTCGTGTTCGCGAAGGCTTAGGTATTACAACAAATAATGTGGCTGAATACCGTGCCTTAATTTTGGGAATGAAATATGCTCTCATGAGAGGCTTCAAGCATATCAGGGTGCAAGGTGACTCCCAATTAGTTTGCCTTCAGGTGTGCTATTTGTAATAATCATACTATCTTTTTGTTGTAATTATTTCAAAATTAATATTAATGTTAATTATAACATATATGTTTAGTTCAGCATGTTTAAAAAAACTACTAGATGCTACAACATTATTCTTGTTCATTATTGATTCTTGATTTATTGTGGACTATCAGGTAGGTAAACTGTTAAACTAGATGCATTCGTTAATTTGTGACAGCCCTTTTCTGGTTTCATCTTGTTCTGCAACTGTTCTGTTCTGTCTAAGTTTAGCTTGCAAGTGCTTAGCAGGTAAACTATAATAGTATGCTAAGAGAAATTTAGTTTATGTCATGACCCAAGCTGAGAATCATTTTCGGATATTAACTAACGTTCTCATTAACTAAAAGCACTGCAGAAACAGATACTAAGGTTTTGTTTGGGATTGCTTTCTTACTACTTTCTAAAACAGATTTTTGGTAGAAAATTTTTAATTTTTATACTGAAAAACTGTTAGGAAGCAGTAAGAAAGCCGTCTCAAATAAAGGGTAAAATTTCCTTAAAATTGTCAGGTTTCTATGTCACGGAACTACCTAAGCATTCTTAAAGTAGGTAAGATGGTGTGATGCAAGTACGGAATATGGAGATTCACTATGATTTGAGGTTTAGGAATGCCATGCTTCTAATATTTATTAGGCTAAACTAGAATTTTAGTTTTCCTACCATTTGAAATTCAAGCTTATAGATTTCAAGTTCAATGGAAAGATCTGTGATCTGAGGACTTTGCGATTTCAAAGAACTATTGATGTATTTTACTAGTAAGTAGACACTTATCGAACTCAGATGATTGTAGACATATTGACATTGAACACAACTTTGACTTTTTCCGGGTGTTAATATTTTAATTAATACTATTTATCTTTTACCTTAAGTTAGCTTGGAAATTAGTCAGCTATAAGGTTGCTCAACAATACAGATCCCGAGTTATGTGAAGTCCTGTGCCTAAGTCAGTTGCTTCACCTTGTCATTCAGAACCAACTCCTTTGCCTGAGCAATAGGAGGGAAATAAATACTTTTTAAATATTATAATCATTAACCAAGATAAGTAGCTTCTAACTACTCTTAATTAATATTAGGCTTCAGTTTAGTTTTTTTTTTTTTTTGCATTGATTCATAAATATGCACATTTATAGATGAATTCTTTATGCGGAGATAAAGCTTAATATTGTAAATCTTAGCCCCGATAAGAAGTACTATATATTGTTTAGCTAGGAAAGAAGGATGTGACTTCTTTTTCTCTTCTTTGTGAGCTCTATAAGAGATTCTATTGTCTACCGTTTTTGATCAGTAAGAGATTCTTTTCTTTTCTCATGTTCTTGATCAGTAAGCGACTCTTTTCTTTTCTCATGTTCTTGATTAGTAAGAGACTCTTTTCTTTTTTACATTTTTTATTTGGGTTTTACTACATGTATGGTTAATTATTCTTGAGCCACCTCTCAATTTTGAAGGGACAATATTGGGATTTTATTTTAATTTTGTTTTACCAGGATAGAAACCTCTGTCCTCCATTTTTTGAGGTCAAAGATTATACTGTGCAGGCTTTGTTTGAGATATCTTTTTTACAGTTTTTTGTGTTAGGAAAAACAATCAATAAAAAAAATTGTATGTTTGGATGACAACTTTTGCACTTTTTTTTTTATCTTTAAAAACCTTAATTTCAAAAAGCATATTTAAAACTATATGATAAAAGAGCTTTTAAAAGCATAAGCTGTCTTGGATAAAGGCTTAATTAGCTTTATTTGGGATAGTTTTCTTACTGTTTTTAAAGATAGTTTTTTTTATAACATTTGTATTAAAAAACCGCTTTAAAAAGCAGAAAGAAAGTTATCCCAAATAAAGCCATAGTCAAATATGGCCTGTGTTACATCTTTTCTATAAAGGATTTCATTGAGAGAACATTATTCTGAACAAAAGTGATTAATTTGATATTTGATAATGTATAATTAAATATAAAAATCTTTGGACGTTTAATTATCTATCTCAAAATCATAGTTCCTTCTAAACAAACTGTTCTATTGGGAATTGGTTTGGAAACTTAATTCTCAAGGAATTGGTTGAACTGAACAACATTGTCATTTTCCTTATCTGGAAGTGATTTTAGTCTTAAACTGTTACGGACTTGCTCTATATTGCATTTGCTTTGAAGCTTGTTGCTGTCAAAAAGTTATTAGAAGCATAAATCAACTTTTTCTAAAAAGAATTGAAACACCTATGAGTTGTTGCAATTGCTTCATTATTTTAAGACCTTTGTTTTTCCGCCATTATACAAAATGGATTTAGAAAAAGAAAATGCTTCCTCTTGCTTGCCTTTCTTGAAAATTTTGTTCATGGAAATATCATTAATAGATCTCAGTATACTTGGATTCATTGGAATGCCAATTGGTGAGATTTCAAACTGATTTAGCTCTGATATATTGATGCTGTTGCTCTTGAGATGATCATTTACAGCGTCCTTTAATCATATTTAGGTATTTTTAATGTTTTTTTATTGATGTTTCACCTAACCAGGTTCAAGATCTCTGGCAAACTAAGAACCAGAATATGGCTGATCTGTGCAGAGAGGTGAAAAAGCTGAAGGATATGTTCCAGTCATTTAGCATCACGCATGTTAGAAGGGTAATGCACAGTTTCTTATTATGTTTCAAATGTATATAGATTCATCCATTTGATGACATGTCATATTCTCGCCAGCGGCGGAACCCCCTTGAGCCCGAGGGGTTCCGATAAAAAAAAAATTTATATTATATAATTCTTTAGGTAATTTGTCCCCTCAATCTATCTTTTATTCTTTATTACAATGGTTTTTAGTCAATTACCCCCCCTTCCCCCCTAAAAGTTTTAAAATACTATGGTCTTTAAGCAAATACCCCTAGTATAATTAAACACATTATGTAGATGTGTTATTGTCAGGGAACGATGAACCAAATACAAAGAGAAATAGTAAATCAAAATTTGTTCCCCGCCAGAGGGGCGCTGTTCTCTTGAACCCTCTATATATCTGTCAATTGTTACTTATAAATTTGCCCCCTTTGAAAATTATAGTTGGTTCCGCCCCTGATTTTCGCCATTATAACTTTCACTATGATTAGTTGGGAAGAATTACAGCCCTTATTCCTTTCATACGGCATTAAGATGGGTACTTTTTCATGCATCCTTTGAGGAGGCAGAAAAATGATGCATGTGAGAAAATTCATACCACCATTGTTCATCAGCTCCACTCATCTTTTGACACTAATCCTGATTTCCTTACAGGAGTTCAATGCCATTGCTGATAATTTGGCCAACTTAGCTGTTACTCTTCCAGGTGCGGAACACAAATCTGCTTATACATTTCATAGCTTTGTTTACAGATCTTATTCTGTTTTTCTTATGATCTGCAGCTGGAGAAGTTTGTGAAGATTTTGGCCCCTTGAGTTGAGTCTGGTGATTATAATTTTTCTTCTGTTATCTCAAAATCAGCTTTTCTGAAGCAATTTGTAGGAAAAGAATGGAGCAAACTGAATATTCTTTCAACCAAATAAATATTATTTTTTGCTGGTGGCTTTTACTTCCCCACAGAAGCTGTCCCAAAACTTGAAATGGCTGAATAGTATGACTCATAAAGAATTATATGATTGAATGTGAAGAAATTGAGAATTCTGTTATCTCAAAATCAGCTTTTCTGAAGCAATTTGTAGGAAAAGAATGGAGCAAACTGAATATTCTTTCAACCAAATAAATATTATTTTTTGCTGGTTGCTTTTACTTCCCCACAGAAGCTGTCCCAAAACTTGAAATGGCTGAATAGTATGACTCATAAAGAATTATATGATTGAATGTGAAGAAATTGAGAAAATTTTTGATTATATATTTCATATATATATATATATATATATATATAATGTGTGTGTGAATTATGAATAATTAGATAATAAATTAACTTAGAATCATATTCTCATTGGTTTTGTATATTTTTTCTAACTATTAATCCTAGTTATATAAAACTAAAATGTTAGTTTTTTTTAACTTAATTTAGATAAATTTTAAAAGATATAAAAGGAGTAAAGTATTTCAAACTCACGGGTTTTGAGAATATTGGTGTTTGATTTGTCATAAAATAAATACAGCGCGAATTTATTATGCAAATGTTATCCCAAAATAGATTGTCATATTTTCCCAGGAACATTTGATATTTGACCATCTCATTCAGAGTGGAGGCCATGGTTTATAACAAAGTTGAGGTTGGTGCATTTTTTTCAAAACTTCAATTAATCTGACTATTAATTATAATTACTTATATAACATTTTTAGCATTTATCTTTATATTATATGATATAAATGTATGAAAATAAGATTTGATTTGGTATGTAGTTCGCTGGATTCGTCGAATCATATTTGGGGACTAATCCATATGCGCTGGATCGCAGAATCATATTATATATCTTTTATATATAATATATATATATACATATATAATAAATATATTATATATATATTCGTTGAAAACCCCACTAGAGGGCACTACGCGTTAATATAAAAATTCAGTATACAAGGGTCCTTAGGAAGGACCATCCACTCGTCTACGCTCATCGAGTACAATCAAAAGAAAAATAAGTCCTACAAACCAGCTGGATCTTTTTCTCCATTACAAATAGGCAATTATGCGCTGGTGTCGGCAAGTCAGACTAAACCCAAAACCGGTAAAGTGAAAAGTTTTGCTCACTCGAGCACCACAACTTCCTGCCAATAACAGAAATAACAAAATGAAATAGTGCACAAAAAAATTTCTAACGAAGAGTAGATTGCAGTTTGGCTATTTGGAACATAAGAAAAGAACCTGCACAAAAACCTCTCCAAACATAATGAGTCTTAAACACAATTAGAAACAAGAAGAAGATAACCGCAAAATACCGTGAGAGATTTGCCTCAAATGATAAATTTAACAGCCTGAATGCATCAAAGTTTCATATATTACCTAATCTTTAGAAACTAGCACATATACTTTTCATGACCATATTAATACTTTCTCAAAAGCTTTTTTAGATACCCGTACAAATTTATTATTCTTACAGCCAGTTGCATTGACACTTCACCTCAACTTTTTTCATTGCAGAATCTATTGCCAGATATTTCAGAAATTAACTATTCTTTGAGTTAACATATTAAAATATTAACATATAAAATACAATGATATAATGAGCGGGCGGAGCCCGAAAATTTTTTGTATGGGCACAAATTAACATTAATTATTAATTTATTCTAAAATTTATTTTACTCAGTGTAACACATATTTTAAAAATATATTTAAATCTATGCGTTTTATTAAGAAAGAATAGATATGTTACTCTCTATCTTATTATTTATTAAAAAATTTAGTATATTTTTATTATTAAATTTTGTTTCAAATAAATGTTTTATACTTAAGATAGTATTTTATTTGATAATAATTAATTAATTCTTAATTTTGAACTATCATTTAGATTAAAAAATTAGTAAAGATCATATTCTGAACCAAATTTTAATTATGTTAATGATTCATATCCTAATTAGTTTTATAGATTAATTATTAATACATACAAAATTATAAAATTGATATGATAAACTAATTAATTTACTTAAATTTATTAAAAAAATGTATCAATTTCCTCCTCACAAAAAAATCAGGGGGGGTATAGAGAGAGCGGGGATGGAGTGGGGTGGGTGATATAAAGAAGAGAGAGAGAGAGAGAGAGAGAGAGAGAGAGAGAGAGGGGAGAGATAACAACGAGGAATAGAAAAGAAAAAGCATATTACCAAGTCAGCAAAAAAAGAAAAAAATTGGCTGAGGCGTGGCGGAGCGAAGCTGAAGCTAAGCTGATATCTGATTGGTTTTAAAATCTTATTTAATCTTTATATATTAATAGTTTTTATTAGTATAATTTAAGATGGGCTGATTTTAATTATTAGGCCAGTGGGGCCCAATGGGGCCGTACCCACAGGGCCCCACTGTAGATCCGCCCCTGATTATAATTCACATGCATCAATGCCTGCTATATAACTTCCATTTTCACTTTATGTTCGAATTTTCTTTTTTAATTTGATAGATTTTTTTTAATAGTTATTTAAATGGCTCATTGACATAAAATGTTAGAAACATGTGTCAATATTTCTAGCAGAATTTATTGCTTACATATATCAAATTATTAAAAATATTTTTGTTCATTGTATGTTGTCTTTTATATATATATATATATATATTATATAATATACTAAATATATATAATATAATATAACTATAATTTAATATATAATAATTAATATAATATATATATATTATACTATATATATATATATATTATATAGTGCACACTTTTATCAACACATCAAGGTTAAATGGCATAAATAATGAGAAGGGAGGGCAATAATTTAGATATGACTATTGCAGTATAGCTAAGGAGGCTAAGCTCCTCTTGCATGCAAGATTTCTACATGCAAGTATATTGTATAATATTTATAAAGATCATAAAAGAATAAGTTTTTAATAATCAGAGAAATTCAATGAGTGTAAGATCACATAACTATGATACCGTTAAGTCAACGAGCAGGCTACCGATTCCAAAATTTATCTTTCTCACACCAAAAAAAATATCAATTTTTACTATCATTAATATCTGAAGCCACAATATTCTTCCTCAGTTACAAAAAAAAAGTACAAATATAGATTCTCCAACGTACATTAAGCATCACTGTCACATTATTCTCTAATAGAATATATTAATCATCTTAAGAAAATCAAAACTAAGTCGACATATTCACAGAATGTAATAAAACAGTTGCCGCGACAAATCGGACAATTACCATGCATGTGTGCCACATGTCATACAAGTTGCATGAAATAAGTTTGGCACGATGATAATCGCCTTGACCGCATTCTTCCTTCATCGAATGGTGATAGGCAAATCACACACTCTGGTAGCATGCTTCCTCCTCCTTCCCCTCATCCCTGCTTCCTTGTGATATTTGGAATTTTGGATTCCTACGTTGCATTTCCAAGTCATTATGCTTGTGATTTAGCAACCGACGCATTGAGAGGAATGCGTTGAAACCAAGTGCAACAACCATTGCGTAGAGCTGGATGATGAGGAGTAAATGAAGATGATAATGTGAAGCCGAAGAGCATGTAGTAAGTAGTCGTGTCTTGTCATAGGATGAAGAAGAGAGATGATGCATTGTGGTGGACTTTGGCAATTTGAGATCTGATTAATGAGCTCATCTTATAGTGTACCTGGAAGGACAAATTTTGTAATAGATCTGCTAACTATTTAATTATTAAAAATAAAGATGTACAAAAGAAAATGAAAAATTAGGTATAATCAACTAGCAAAGTTATGCAACTGCATGGATGGCTGACATGGACGAGGAGTGCAGAACTAGTCGCTCAAGTTCGGCAACTGATTTTATTAAAAATTTTTAAAATATTAAGCTCCTAGACACAGGAAATTTTTAACTGATCACCATTTTAATATATATATATATAATATATATAATTATATATATATATATATAATTATATATTATACTGTGGTAATAGTTTTATTCTAATATGAATACTGTTCTCTTAATATCTCTTCTTCTTTCACTGCTTATGTGTCTTCTTCTCTGTTTTTATTCTCCGATTTCTCCCTGTCTTCATGGTATAGAACTGTAGAAATACAACTCAACCACACCGCGCCTCCTGCTGGCATCGCTCAACCTCATTATCCGACTCCTAACCAACACCATTACACTAAAATCCTCATCCAATCCCCGGAGTGGATCTCTCTACAAGGTCTGACCATGAAGACAGGGAATCGGAGAGTAAAAAGCAGAGAAGAAGACACAGAAGCAGTGAAGAAAGCAGAGATTAGAGAACAGTATTCATATTAGAACTAACTAAAATATATAACTAAAGAAGGAGAGAGAAAGAGAGAGAGAGAGAGAGAGAGAGAGAAGAAATGTTAAATACCTGCCGGCTGTCGGGAACGTAGTGCCGAGCTCGAGCGATCAGCCGCCTAGCTCCACGGCTTCCGTGAGACATCCAGTATCCAACGTATGTAATGGCTGGGCCGTCGCTGTCTCACCTACCAGCTGGCCGTCACTCTCTACACTAACTGAATGTTCTTACATTTTAGAAAAATTCTCCTATATGTAAATATAATTGGTATATATTAAATTGTATACCAATTCTTTTTTTCCTACTTCATATTATTCTTATAACAATTTTATACTAGATTGTATAATTCATAATATTCATTTAATTTTTTTTTTTTTAATTTATCTTTCAAGAAATTACTAAAACAAAATGAAATAAAGAACATATTATAGGCACAAATATTCCCCACATATAATTACTCTTATCATGTTTATTAATGATATTTTTTAAATTCATAAATAATTATTCACCAAAAAATTAACTTGAAAAAGCCTATAATCAATCTTATTATTCCTATATCATAATTATAAATATAATCAATAATCTAAGTACATTTCCTATATTATTTGAGGAAATCCAATGAAAATTCATTCATATTATTATCTCAGAATCATTAAATAAATGA